TTGTTGTTTGGCGGGTCCGGGCTGGGGATTCGAACCCGCCACCTTAGGTGTACGTGGCTGGCGCCTTAGCCCGTTGAGCTATAGGCGCCGAGCCTGTTTTTATTTTTTTTAATTAAATGAAATTAATATGAGAGTACAATTTTAGGTTACATTGTTCTCACTTCCAGGGTAAAGTTCCATTTGTAGAAGAGCCCCTCACCCAATGGGTGTGTTAAACCACCTCAAAATTAGGTGAGATCCCGCCTCATGCCCTCCCTCCTTCTGCCAAACGTCCTCCCACCTTCTGCTTCTCTCTGCCCTCAAACTGGTCTATATTAGTGTTTTATTATTCTTATGATCATGTAATTGTTTATATATTGATTTCATTAGTATGGAGTATACTAGATTCTTTTTTTCCATTTTTGCAATATTTTACTAAGAAGAATGTATTTCAATTCCATTTAAGTAAATGTAAAAGATGTAAAGTCTCTATATTTTTTAATGGCTGAATAGTATTCCATGGTATACATATACCGTAGTTGTTGATTCATTCATGGGTTGATTGGTACTTAGGAGTTTTTCTATTTTTAGTAGAGATGGGGTCTCATTCTTGCCCAAGCTGGTCTCAAGCTCCTCAGCTCGAGTGATCACTCCACCTCAGCCTCCCAGAGTGCTAGTGTAGGCATGAGCTACCACATCTGGCTTAGACTTATGATTCTAAATGGGTCGCATTTACATTTAGTGGATAGGAGACTGATAACTAAAGGACAAGCTGACCCTTTCCCTGGTTTATTAAGGCCTTGTCCTAAGTGTTAATTTATCAGAATGAAGAGTTAATTTATCTCTAACGAAGAGTTAATTTCTGAATGAAGAGTTAATTTATCTCTAAATATTGCTATTTTTTTTATATAGGTGGCAAGAATCAAGATAATATGGAGACTTTCCAAAAATTTGCATTAAAATACCTTTCACATGAAGAGCTATCCTGCTGGCAAATCTGGAAACAGGTTGCCAATGAATTAACCAAGTGTCTTCAGAGGAAGAGTTCCCACTTACTACAAGGTGACTGTATTCAGGTTTCTGAAAATGTGAACACTATAATGAATTGTAAAGGAGATAGCTCTATTTATATTGAAAATCAAGAGTTTTCAATTTTGAGAACCCAGGATCTTCTCACGAATACATATCTGAGTGAGTCACAGAATCTGAGTAGAGGTAAGCAAATTGATTTGAAAAATAACCTGCATGTGTGTGAAGACTTCATGAAGAAATCATCATCTAGTGAGCATATTAAAACTGACACAGAACCAAAACCCTACACATGTCAAGAATGTGGCAAAAAGACTAGCCATGACGTTAATCAGCAATTACTCTTAGAGAAACCACAATCATGTAGTGATTGTGGAACGGGCTTGAGTGATAGCCCAGTGCTTCCTCTACATCTGAATGTTCATATAGGACAAAAATGCTTCCGTCCAAGCTCATGTCTGCAAACTCAGAGAATTCACCCAGTAGAGAAACTTGATAAATGTCGTGAATCTGGTGACTGCTTCAGTAAGAATTCTTTTCATTCTTATCAATCTAATCATACAGGAGAAAAGTCCTATAGATGTGACAGTTGTGGCAAGGGATTCAGTAGCAGCACAGGTCTTATCATTCATTATAGAACACATACTGGAGAAAAACCTTATAAATGTGAAGAATGTGGTAAATGCTTTAGTCAAAGTTCAAATTTTCAGTGCCATCAAAGAGTCCACACTGAAGAAAAACCATACAAATGTGAAGAGTGTGGTAAGGGCTTCGGTTGGAGTGTTAATCTCCGTGTCCATCAGAGGGTGCACAGGGGTGAGAAACCCTATAAGTGTGAGGAGTGTGGTAAGGGCTTCACTCAGGCTGCACATTTTCACATACATCAAAGAGTCCACACTGGGGAGAAACCCTACAAATGTGACATATGTGGTAAAGGCTTTAGTCACAATTCACCGCTAATATGCCATCGGAGAGTCCACACTGGAGAGAAGCCATACAAATGTGAGGCATGTGGGAAAGGCTTTACCCGTAATACAGATCTTCATATCCATTTCAGAGTTCACACTGGAGAGAAACCCTATAAATGTAAGGAGTGTGGCAAGGGCTTCAGTCAGGCTTCAAATCTTCAAGTCCATCAAAATGTCCACACTGGAGAGAAACGATTCAAATGTGAAACGTGTGGGAAAGGTTTCAGTCAGTCTTCAAAGCTTCAAACCCATCAGAGAGTCCACACTGGAGAAAAGCCATATAAATGTGATGTGTGTGGTAAGGACTTCAGTTATAGATCAAATCTTAAACTACACCAAGTGATTCATACTGGAAAAAAACCATATACATGTGAGGAGTGTGGGAAGGGCTTCAGTTGGAGATCAAATCTTTATGCGCATCAGAGAGTTCACTCTGGAGAAAAACCCTATAAATGTGAGGAGTGTGATAAAAGCTTTAGTCAGGCTATAGATTTTCGAGTACATCAGAGAGTCCATACTGGAGAAAAACCATACAAATGCAGTATATGTGGTAAGGGCTTCAGTCAGTCCTCTGGTCTTCAATCCCATCAGAGAGTCCACACTGGGGAAAAGCCATACAAATGTGATGTATGTGGAAAGGGCTTTAGATACAGTTCACAGTTTATATACCATCAGAGAGGCCACACTGGAGAAAAACCTTACAAATGTGAGGAGTGTGGGAAGAGCTTTGGTAGGAGCCTGAATCTTCGCCATCATCAGAGGGTCCACACGGGGGAGAAACCTCATATATGTGAAAAGTGTGGTAAGGCCTTCAGTCTTCCCTCAAATCTTCGAGTCCACCTGGGTGTTCACACTAGGGAGAAACTCTTTAAGTGTGAAGAGTGTGGTAAGGGCTTCAGTCATAGTGCACGTCTTCAAGCCCATCAGAGAGTCCACACTGGAGAAAAACCATACAAATGTGACATATGTGATAAGGACTTCCGTCACCATTCACGTCTTACCTATCATCAGAAAGTCCATACTGGCAAAAAGCTTTAGAAATGAAAAGTGTATTACCAAGTTTTATCAGAATACACATCTTCAAGTTTTGGGAGTGTCCATGCTGGTGATAGACCTGTAATAGTATTGAAAGATTAACACTCAGAATCTTCCTTATATTATACAAATTCCATCAAAATGATGACAGCCATTGTCACAGAATAAAACTCATAATTAGAGGAGAAATAAAGAACATGATCGTCTTGGTAAGCGCCAATTAGTATAAATGATCATCTGTCAGTGTGAACATGTTGCCTGAATGTAATATGAGAAAGGATATCTGCCATACGCTAACTAGTTTTTTGTCTCCTAGGGAGGGTTTTGGATTTTCTTTCTCCTTTCATATTAGACTTACAGTTGCCATTATTTTTGCTAAAGCTGTAAAGTTATAAAAATGAATAAAATTACTGACTATAAATGTTATCTTTAAAAATCTTTCCTCCTGGCTCTGTGCCTGTAGCTCAGTGGTTAGGGTGCCAGCCACATACACCAGGGCTGGTGAGTTCAAACCCGGCCTGGGCCTGCTAAACATCAATGACAACTGCAACAAACAATAGCTGGGCGTTGTGGTGGGCGCCTGTAGTCTCAGCTGTTTGGAAGGCTGAGCAAGAGAATCACTTAAGCCCAAGAGTTAGAGGTTGCTGTGAACTGTGACTTCATGGTACTCTACCTAGGGCGACATAGACTCTGTCTCAAAAAAAAAAAAAAAAGCATAGATGAATAGGTATTTCTAGTTGTCACTAAATAATGGGATTTTTCCTTCATATATATTTTTACATTTCTTTAAACTTACTTTGAAGTTTAAAACTTTCAGAAGAATTATGTAAAATCTCCCAAATACTTTTACCCCAGATTTATCAGTTGATAAACATTTGCTGACTTTAAAATGTTTAATTTTTTAAAAATTAGTTGCTTTTTATTATAGCTATAGAAGTTATTAATGTTTCTTTGGCAATGGAATCTTACAACTATGTTAAAATGTTACTTACCTTTGTCTAAGAAACAGTATTTACTGAGTGTACATAGTTGACTGACAAAATCCTCTACCATCCTACCCTAATTAATTGACAAAATAATAAGCTACCTCATATTACAGGATTTCCAAAAAGAAAGTAAGATACAGATACACACACGTAAAATTGTGTGGCTCAAAACACAATATCACGCCTTATCTACAGGCAAATACAATTTAGTGTTTTAAAATCGAAAACACTGAAAAAATAACGTTCAGGCCACTCTCCGAGGTGGCTGACTCCTCTGCCCCAAACCTCGCACAAGAGCTGGGCGCCAGGCAGGGAGCTGCCCTACCTGTGGCAAATCGACCAGGTCCTCCCGCTGCGGCTCCGGGAAGGAAGTCTGCACCCGCGCCAGCATCGTGTTGGCGTTCGGCGTGCAGGTGAGCTACAGCCTGGGAGATGAGTTACCTCTGCCGACAACCAAACGTGCGTTCTGGAAAGGTGTTTGGAAGAGTTGCTGCGGTTTATCAAGGGATCCACAAACGCTAAGTACTGTCTCTCAAGGGAGTGAAAATCCGGGAGTGTACAGAGGCTTCTTTGGGTGTAGACACTCCTCAAAGACAATGAGCTGCTGCAAGAAGCCCACTGACTAGGAAAGAGCTATGAGCCGCATCTGAGGGGATGGTCGGTCTCCATTGGTAGTTCAGATAAGCTGCTGTTGAAGAATTTGTTGGTTACAAAGTTGAATTGAACATTAACCTATACTTAAAAACTGCACAAAGGGGAGAAGCTTCCATAAAGCCACCATGAACCAGGCTGCCCAGCAGCTTCATTCATCCAGACGCAGCAGACGTTACCCTTGGACCGAACGTCTTTCTCTGCACTGTGGCTTCAGTCTGAAGGGTGTACTGAGAGCTCAAATGCTCCCTTGGCTCTCACCTCCCTTAGCTTTACGCAAAGGGGGGAGATGTGCATCTTTCTGGTGCAGCCAATACTTCCGTGCCTGCTGCTATTTGTTAGACGTTCAGTTATAGGTGTTGGAGTATTTTATTTTTGGTTGAAAGAGCCCCTGTACCCAGTTGAAGCATTCTGGGCTCAGCCGGGTATACCGCCCCCTTGAGGAGCCTTTAGGCCGCTCAAAGGAAGCATGAGGATAATTTGCAGGTTCCTAGACATCTGACCTAGAAATTATTGGTCTGGGCAGCTCACTGGTCTTAGGTCTACACCCAATTCCTTGGTTGTAGTAGAGATGAAGATTCCTAAGTCATAATCCTAGGTAATAGGGGCTAAGAAGTGAGCTGGGTGTTGTTTATCCTGTTATTCATGCGTGTTTTAAGGAGGAAGCGGACGAAGTTGAACAAGAAAAAGGATAAGGGGGTGGGTGTTTCTTGTCTGTTTTTTAATTGGAGGGGGGTGATTTTCTCCTAGGGTTATCCTGAGTTGGGGTTTTTAAGGCAGCATAAACTGCCAAATGCTGTTTTTTATGGAACTAAATTCACTTTGGGATATTTTTTCTGGAACACCTGAAACTTAAAAAAAATACATACACACACACACACACATATATATATATATATATATATGTTTTTGTTTTTTTTTAATCCTCTTCTAAGAGACAGTCTTCCTTTGGTCTCTGTGACTGATACAGGGCAATGATCCCCAGCCAGCTCAATCCAAGCTGAGGGAAGGACTTGCCATCTCTGCCCTGGGCGTGTTGGTGCGGCAGCAGCCAGTTTAGGAACCAGAGGGTTGGGGGAAGTGCTGGTGCGGACAACTGTTAGGGGTGACACCTCCAGGTTGCCCCCTCAGGGAGCCACAAGCTGTCGCCCTGGGTAGAGTGCCGTGGCGTCACACCTCACAGCAACCTCCAACTCTTGGGCATAAGCAATTCTCTTGCCTCAGCCTCCCAAGTAGCTGAGACTACAGG